AACGAATCAACAAGATTTCAGATCCCTACGTTTTGGTTTTTCAAAATAGAGCAAACCCGAGGCTTTACTAAGGGTTTTAAAAAAGGAAGAAATTATATAATTAATCTTTTAATTGGATCGGCTCAAATGAAATTAAAATAACACGAGCTATGACAGGGGCGCGTGGGACTTCAACATGTTTCAAAAACACGAAAATAACATTGAATTATAACATTTTAATACAAGAGAAGAAAAAATAACATTTAATTATAACATTTTAATACAAGAGAACAATAAATATCATTTAATTATAACATTTTAATACAAGAAAACAGTAACAAAAACTTAAAGACATTATTCTTTGTTCTGGATAAGTAATATATAAAAAAATTTGTTAAATAAAGGAACAACCTTGGTAAAAAAGCTACATAATGCGTTACACGTTGCTTTTATATACTTTAAGGATTTTTATTTTGATATGTTGTAAGTTCGCCGGCTGGGTAATACCACTCTAATGATGGTATGTGATGAATGCATGTGATGATGGTAGGCCTATACTCTGTGTTCACCCCCCATGATGGTATGTGATGGGTTTATGTCTGAATGGTATGTAATAGGTTCACATTATGATGGTATAGGATGTGATCGGTGAACATCATGATGGTATATGATGGTTTCATGCCATGATGGTATGTCTATATGCCGTGCTCACCCCCATGATGGTGTGTGATCGGTTCATGTCATGATGGTATATGATGGTTTCATGCCATGGGGTATATGATGGGCTCACTCTATGATGGTATGTGTTTTGATGGTATGTGATGAGTACACCCCATGACGTAAACGGTATCAGGACCAACCGCTCACCGAGATGGCCTAATTAACAATGTTTATCAGATCCCCAATCACGTGGTCGAACCTACGTATGTAGGCCAGCTAGATCGATAACTGGTTTGTATTCCGGGAGGTTCCGTGTGATCACGTGATCCTCCCAAACAAGACCCTCCTACCCCCACCCTCCACATCAATATGTAGACGAGAGCGGGCATAGAGCTCAATGCGTAGACATCGTTCTGTATGTCCTCTGTTTACATGCTCAACAACGCCCCCACCCACTTCAACATCTATTAACATCATCTGGCTTTCAAATATAGCTAGAAAGGGCCTCAATAAAATAATAACGTATAATCGTCACTATCAGTACAGTCACGATGGCCGAGTGGTTAAGGCGTTGGACTCGAAATCCAATGGGAATTTCCTGCACAGGTTCGAATCCTGTTCGTGACGCTTTACGTTTTATTTAGTAGTAGAAGACAAGTAAGGGTTCAGGTCTACAATTATACTATCTATTAAAATCTATAAATCATAAGTCTTTATTTAAGAATAGTCGTATAGACTGATGGATAACTTAACTAACTCAGATTTTTCATGAATCGGTCCACGAATTAGCATTTAGAAAAACAGTATTAGTTAGCCCCAAACCAATCTAAGTAAAAAAAAAGTTACCCTTTGACAAGTGCTCTACCTCAAGACTAACCATTGAGAAGAGTATAATATAACTTTAACTAGAGCATAATTACGTTGGCTATGGCTAGCCTACAACACAGTAGGCAGCAATATGGCTGAGCTTAAATATCCCCGTTTAAGACGCTTTTTAACTTTAAAGATGTCATCAAAAGCTCTCTCCCCCCCCCCTCCTCCTCCTGCAGCCTGCTAATGATGCCTAAAACGCTTCTCACTATTAGAAGAATGTGTTTTACAATGTAATAATCTACCGTGTAAGCTTTTACCTGATAACAGTAAAAACAAAATGCAAAATAGATATGTTCTTTTGGCGTGTGTCGGTATATTTTGTTTTTGCGTAAACCCGCGCTTGTTCGGTAGTTGGACTAGCCAGCCGCACAGCTGATAAAACAACACGTGCAGAACAAAACTGCTGATTGCCGGTTTCCGCCGTGACCCGGGTTGGGTTACTTTACGTCATCAGCCAGTCACGTGATCTGGGGGACCAGATTCAAGGTCGTTTAACCCCACAAGCGTCACACTTGTGTGTATGTTTGTGTGTGTGGTGGGGGGGGGGGGGGGGGGGTGGCGGTGTTGGCGTTGGAATGTGTATGTGAAATATATATATATATATATATATATATATATATATATATATATATATATATATATATATATATATATATATATATATATATATATATTAGTTAAGAATCCTCTATAGACCTAGCGATACTTTGGCCAAATGATGTAGAGTCCATATGTCCCTTGACCTCGGCATATGGAGGGATGGTGTGGTCAGCACCATGCCCAGCCGCCTTTACTTTCTAAACGAAAGCCAATGGCAATTGTGGGCTAAGCGACGCTAGAAATCCTAGAACAAACGACGCCGGAAATCGTAGAACAAACGACGCCGGAAATCGTAGAACAAACGACGCCGGAAATCGTAGAACAAACGACGCCGGAAATCATAGAACAAACGGACACCGGAAATCGTAGTTATTCGAACTGACGACCACAGAAGCACAGTTTAAAGTTGGCCTAAACAGACAACAGCTTCATTGAGCAGGAAGGCAGTAATGCAGGGAGGGAGTAGTGTGCACCAACATGGAAGGGAATAATGTGCACCAACAGGGCGGAAGAAGAGTGCACCAACATGAGGGAGTAGTGTGCATCAACAGGGAGTCAATAGTGCACCAACAGGGAGGGAATAGTGTGCACTAACATGGAGGGAATAGTGTGCACCAACAGGGAGGGAATAGTGTGCCCCAACAGGGAGGGAATAGTGTGCACTAACAGGGAGGGAATAGTGTGCACTAACAGGGAGGGAATAGAGTGCACCAACAGGGATGGAATAATGTGCACCAACAGGGAGGGAATAGTGTGCCCCAACAGGGAGGGAATAGTGTGCACTAACAGGGAGGGAATAGTGTGCACTAACAGGGAGGGAATAGTGTGCACTAACAGGGAGGGAATAGAGTGCACCAACAGGGATGGAATAATGTGCACCAACAGGGAGGGAATAGTGTGCACTAACAGGGAGGGAATAGTGTGCACCAACAGGGAGGGAGGAGAGCACCAAGAGGGCGGAAGTAGAGTTCCCCAAGGGGAGGGAGCAGAGTGCACCAACAGTGAGGTAGTAGAGTGCACCAACAGGTAGGTGTGAAACGTTGGCAAGCGCAGGTGTTCGGCAACAGTGCCAGACCGGCTATTTTTAGCCGCGGGTAAAATCTTTCACACGGCCGATCACGTGCACCGACCTGTTTGGTCACGTGATTTCTCGTTTAGCTATGGCGGGGCATCCGTCAGGTGTTTGCTGGGAAACAGGTGAGTGGGGGGGAAGGGAGGGGGGAGGTGGAGATGGACTACCTACTTTGCTGATTATTTTGTTTTGAATTTAGATTTCAAGCGTTCGGTTGAAAAGCTTGTTTAAAACGTCATTCTATTATAAATTAAAGCCTGCGATTGCTTGGTAAATAAAAAATCTCATCGTTTTTCTTTTAAAACTGTGTATGAATGTTTCTTATCTGTTAAACTATCTTTCCCGTGTCTATATTTAAACGCTAGCTATAACAATTAAAATTAAAACTCAGAAACTGGGGTGGGAAGGGGTTGGGAAGAGAGCATTAATATGTTGGGTAATTTGTTGAGTGCGGTGTATATTTAGCCAACTTAGCCACAGACTACTGTAGTACCACCATCACACTGCGGCCCATTTATGGCTTGCCCTTGCCGTAACCATAGTGCTAACCATAAATAATTGAAAAATATAATTACTTGCATGCGTGGTTATCTTTAGGTAAACAACACAATAGGTTCACATTCCCGCTTACTAGGACATTCACATGTTGGCCGCTAGCCTGCATATTAACATTCTAAATGCTGGACCCTAGCTTACACTTTAAATGTTGGTCCCCAGACTCCATAATAATACTTTTGGTCTACAGACTCCATATTAACATTTTAAATGTAGTTACACTGACGCCGTATGACCACTTTAAATGTTGGTCCCCAGACTCCATATTAACCCTATACTTATTGGTAACTAGACCTAGCCTTCATATTAACCCTTTACTTGCTGGTCCCTAGCCTCCATATTAACCCTTTACTTGTTGGTACCTAGCCTCCATGTTAACCCTTTACTTGCTGGTACCTAGCCTCCATATTAACCCTATACTTGCTGGTACCTAGCCCTAGCCTCCATATTTACCCTTTACTTGCTGGTACCTAGCCCTAGCCTCCCGCCATAACTCGACGAACTTTGCACGTGTACGTGCCGCAGCCGACGGCCTTGACCTCCATAAAGCATCATCTCGTGCTGATTGTGGTTTTGTTTGGGTGAGATCCGTCTATCGACCGGCCGTGGCCGTTAAAAAAAAAAATCTTTCTAAGGAAACATGCGGCAGAGAAGGGACTGGCAAGGTAGCTTTGACACGATGCCAGACGTAACTGTATGTGTGTGTGTGTGGGGGGGGGGGGGGACACAGGTGATGATGTTGATGAGGGTCAATGAGTTCAAGTCTTACAGTAGAACAATACCCCCCCCCCCCTCCCCCTTTCCAATATATGTCCTAGTTTTCGTATAGTTCTGACGATGATGAGAATCGAAACTGTATATTTCGATGTTGCATTTTTTTTCATATGTAATTGTAGCTTTTAACACAATAAACCCAATCGCCCTTACGTTTTAAAGAGTGTGACTTTCATTTAAAGGACGAACTAAGTATGATCTGATAGGTTTAAAAATATTTCTGGCAAAAGTCATACAAAAATACGTGTGTACAAGGTCATGTTCATGGAAGTGGAAATGGTGGGGGTTAGGGGGGGGGCGTGTAAAAGGTGTTATGATTTGTTCTGAATTTTACGATTATGGACAACTACAAAATCAACAATCATCTTTCACATTTATGGGTGACTCCAAGAAGTATAATCTGTTGTTTTTTAAAATCATTTATGGACTGCACGATGCATAATCTATGAAGACAGACAGTGTTGAATGTGAGTAAAACAAAACTCACCTGTCTGTTTCCGTGATCTCCATCTTTGCCCTCTTGGCGCCCGGTGGGTCGTCCATCAACGATTGGTTACTCTCGTCGCCCTCCATGTTGGTTTCCGTTGGAAAATAAATTGTACTCCTTATATGGCAATACACAAACACGCCCACTGCACAATGAACCAATCAAATTTTGAACAAACTTTTTGTTTTTGTTTTGTTTGCTGTTGCTCTCCTCTACTCCTGTAGGGTGAGTTGTTGTTTTTTTTATATTGCTCTTCTTAAGACGGGAGACACACGCATTTCACACAATACAAGAAACATCTCAATGTGTAGAAGGATTTTGAATATCTCGCAATCGCCATTTTGTTTTTTGTATTTCTCCAATAAAATTGTTAAATTAACTTTGTTTTCAATGCCTTTGATTAACACAAAGGCCTTTAAATTGGCCTCAAACTATGGACCAAAACTTTGGCCAGTTCCTTCAGAAATTCACGTCACTAATAAGAAACAAATTCAGAAATTAAAACACGTTTCAACACAAATTATAAAATTTTTATTAACTAATCTTCCACAGGTTTTTTGAGAAATGAAGTCGGTTGGAACTAAAATAAAAGAAGTTTGGTTACAAATAGGGGACAAAATAACAAACAAATTCAGCACAGTTACTGTAGTAAATTATTCCTTCTCCATGTTCCAACTGGAGCTTGCACTAAGATAAACACTTTTTTTTTCAGTCAAGTAATGTGTCCTAAAAATTCTTTCTTCGCCAGCATCATAAATCTACGTTTATATCTGCTTCATCGCCGGCTTAACAGACGAGCCTCATAGGGTTATCAATTTAGTGCACAATATACTGGGCTTTGAGCTAAATCTTCAGGCTGTTGTGATCTGCAAAACAAAATCGGAGAGCTATTTATTTCAATATATTATGGTGTTCTAAAAATGCATAATTAAAAATATATATTAAATAACGTAAACATACAGGTGCAGAAACATTTACGTAAACTCTTATTATTTTACGTATTGTATGTATACATCAGTATTAAAACAGTAGAATAAGTAAATTTAATTTTGTTATGTAACATTCTGGTCAACCTACAGTTGCCCGTGATTATATTAACTCCCCTTTTCCAGAGTTATCCAACGCGAATTGCGTAACTTGCCCGTGGAAGTAGTCCATCACTCAGCCAGCCCTGACCTTAATAATTTGCGGTCTAAATACTACTAAACGGTTCCACTGACATATGCTGTTATTTATAATGTCACCATGAAATATAACAACGCCCTGTAACATTCGTTCATCTTGGTTATTTAATTATTTTGCTGCATAATTATATAACTGGTTACATAATGGGGAGAAAACGAATCAATTATTACGGTGGGGCTAACGAACTCATTTTGGAAAGAAAAAAACTTAAGGTGTATGTGTGGATACCATATCTGTGAGTGTATCAAATATGGAGAAGTGCTAGTATGGGGTTGTTGGAGGAGGGGGTGGCTTAAATCACACATCACGTTTACTGTAAGCTTGTGGGTACGTATGATAGTTTGTAGAAAGTATATCGAAGCATTTGTGTGCTACAATCTTTTCTTTAACACAGGATCTAACCATAACCCTTAACCCCCCTCCCCGAATCTTATTCCTCGATCCTAATCTAAACTAAGCCACCACCAGAAAAAAATAAAACGAGAGGAAACTGTATAGCACGGCAATAGTTTTGAGAAAACAAACCGGAATAACAATTAAAACCTCTCGGTGTTTCTTTCAGACATGTTTTTCTCTCAGGGAGAGTGGGGAGGGGCACTAGAAACAAAGGATAACTTGTATATTCAATAATATTTTTTTGTCGAATACTTTAGCCGACCGTCGTGGGCCTACGTGTTGGACGATAATGATGGGAAACGTGGGGGGGGGGGGGGGAGTAGAAGACGAGGGAATACTCTAAATTTAAATTTAGTGCTATCCATCCCCCTCTCACCCCTCCCCACCTTAAACAAAGTCGTGACCTTTTTTTTAGAGTTAACCACCGTTAGTGTCAGCTGTATTTACCACATCTACTACCCCCCTACCCCCACCCACAGCACCACCGCGTTGCCTCCCTTTGAAATGAAACGTGTGACGTCTAGATTCGGGGCACACGTGATCACATCGCTTGCGTCATAGGTTTTAATCATCGACCCGGTCCAATAAATACTGATCGATCTAACAAAAAAAAAACGCCCACACTTTTTATAATGGCGGATCTTTTACATACATATCTAACCTCATACCGATGTTAAAGGGATAACTTTAGAACATATCTACGTATACTGATATTAAAGAGAGTAACTTTAGAACATATTTAAACAAACTGATTCAAGAACGAAAATAAAAATTCAAACCCATACTGGTTTAAGAGGTAATTCATGCAAATCTTTACTAATTCGTTGAGGGGATACTATTTTAGAATACATTTATAATTTTAAATTTCACTAGTTCGTTGAGGTGATTTTATTGTATTGCAACATTTAAAATTCAAAACTGCCCTAATTCGTTAAGGGGATATTATTTTAGAATATATTAATGATTTAAAACTGCCCAAGTTCGTTGAGGTGATATTTTAGAACATATTTTATACCACACTTTTGCTGGGATTGGGGGGGGGGGGGTATTTTAAAAGTTAATAAGATTCGATCTTTGAAAGTTTTTATTAAATAATTATAGATTCGAGCATGTAAATAGAGTTTATGTGTGTAAGTGTGCGTGGAGGGGGGGGGGTGTTATTTATTTTTTTTTGTTCAAGCCATTTGGTAAACCTAAACTCGACTTGAATACAAAATAATTTAAAATAAAAATAAACGGGATCGTAAAGAAACTTTAATGTGTTAGTGATTATTTTAAAACAGCTAATTTGGCATCTTATTTATACGGTTCAAATTAGAAGAAATAATTTAAGGAACTCAATGGACAAATTTAAGTGTGAATTCATAAATAGATTAATTATTAATTAGGTGGGCCCTAATTTTATTTTAATCACGTTTTTACAAAATCGACGAAATAATTAACAACTGCTCGGGTGATGCCTTTATTAAATCAGTTTAATGTAATAATTACGAACAATAAAATTATTAAAATGACAAATTTAGTAATTAATATTATTCTAGTTAATTAACTAATAATACTATTTCATATATTTAAACAGGAGGCTTAAATCAATTAGCCTAAGCAATAAGCTTAGAATACAAATAAATTCTCAAAGAAAACGAAATTTGATTAGGTGTTTGATAATAAATAATAATAAAATATTAAATTGAGCACAATAAAGTATTTAGTATATATATTATATATCAACAAATAGTCCTGATCATCATAATGAAATGAATTGATCTGCATATTTCCAATTTGATCTATTTTTATATTTATTATTATTTTTAATAACTACAAAGTTGCCTATTCAATACTAACAACCTTAATTAATAATTAAATTGGACCTCAAAAATAAATCAGCTCAAACTTACTAGCAGTGACACAAAATAAAAAAACAAAAACAAACAAAAAAACGAGGTATTCTCACCTAGGATCGGTCGAATGAAAGCCGAATAAAACAGAACTCACTGTCCAGCGTTGTCCGAAGAACGAGTAAAATAAAATCACCACCAGTAATGACGATATTCGTGAAGAGGGGTAATTTGCAACCCGCGCTAGCCCAGTCCGTAAACACGAAAATATCAATCACCACACAATCAATGTATGATAAACGATTCTCAGTCAAAGTATTCTTTCACAAAACACCGAAGCTATATAATCCTAATCTATCACTGATCCGTTAATTATTTTTCCCTCCGTAAAGTAGAAAACTAAATCATCCGAGTGTTTTGGGTGTAAAAAAAACGAAATAAACAGTATATATAGTGTGTTGTTACTGGCCTTTGCTAGTCATGCTTTCGCTCACGTGTCAGAAGCCGTGTTCGCCCGCAACGTCACATTTCCAGCCGAACCCCCCTGTCGAAGTCACGCGACCTGAAGCATGGGCCCGTGTTGTTTTATTCTATTTTTAGCGTCTGGTGACCGACGTTGATTGGTTCGTAAATTCTGAGGCGCTGTCAGGGAAAACGAAAACAAAATAGACCACGAGCCACTTTAAAACAAGCCAGCGCCGGCAATTAATTTAAAAAAAAAATTAATTTTGAAGATTATTTTGTGAAACAGTGCATTCGCTTATGATATAGATAAAAGACAGCTGAGATAAAAGTAATTAAAAATAGATGCCCGCTCCGCTAGGGTTAATAAAAAAAATTCTACAAGTGTACTAGCAGGTTTTTGCAGCCCGTCACGTTAACAGCTAAATCAACAAGTGGCTGCTGTCAAAAAAAGTCGTCTTCTGTAACCGATGTCTAGGGAACTGAGTTTCTCCGGGGGGGGGGGGGGGGGGCAAAGCCCCCCCCCCCCCCCAAAGAAAGTCTACCACCCCCACCCCGAACGAAATGGAATTTATGTAGAAAATATATACTTTTACCAGTGTCCGCCCCCCCCCCCCCCCATCCCGTTATATTTAGACACCCCCCTCCCGAAATTATTAAGAGCCCCATAGGAGAAAAAGGTCTGGAAGAAACACTGCTAGGGTAGACTAAGACTTAGTGTAGTGTGTGTGGTGTGTGTGTATAGTTTCTTTCAGGCATTTCTTCTACGGGGGGGGGGGGGGGGGGGCAAACGAAAAAGTGCTAATATAGAAAAGAAATATTTTTACAAGTGCTTTAAATTTCTCAAGGTTAAATTTGTGTCACATCACTAAGGACCAACCCCCACCCCCCCCCCCCCCCCCCCCCCAAGAAAGACTGGTTGTTTTTTTAATGTGAAGAAATTATTGCAGGGGTTGATTAAGATTAAAGTTTCCAATTGACTAGACTGTCCAGATCAGGGCTTCTTTCAAACATTTTGCTCCAGAGGAACGGGGTGGTGTAGCAAAGGGCGGGGCAGGGAGTGCGTACCGCACCGGGTGACACCATTAAAGGGGTGACACCAAGGCAAAAAAAGTGCTAAATGTACTGAAGAATAATGCTTTTTTTGCCAGTTCCATTAATGATTGATTAAAGTTAAATAATTGTTGCTACTATAGACAAAACAATGACACATCTAACTGTATTTTTATCAGACTATTGATAAACATCATAAATACTAATTCTGCAGTAATTAAACAATGATACATCTAACTGTATTATTATCAGACTATTGATAAACATTATAACTACTAAGTCTGCAGTATTTACAGCCTATATACATACATGTACGCGTATGTGGTATATATTTAAATTATAGGTTTATGGAGGCCGACACACATAGTTTCTTCCAGGCATCTCTTCGAAATGAAATTTATATAATTTACATAGAAAATATATATTTTTAACAGAAGAGAGTCTACCGCCCCCCCCCCTTGAAAATTTCGAGTGCCCCCCCCCCCCGGAGAAAAAAGTCTGGAAGAAACACTGCCGACACACTCACACTGCATATATATATATATATATATATATATATATATATATATATATATATATATATATATATATATATATATATATATATATATATATATATATATATATATATATATATGTGTGTGTGTGTGTGTGTGTGTGTGTGTGTGTGTGTGTGTACTGTGTTTATTGGGGGGGGGGGGGGGGGGGTGACACCACAAAGTGCCGCACCGGGTGATACCCGACCAAGTGACGCCACTGGGACGGGGTTAGCATTTAAACACCCGAGTAGAGACAACGGTTTAAGTCTAAACTTTTATTCTTATGTAAATCTATTTTTTCCCGTGACTTTGTTCAAAGTGTGCGGTGGGGGAGGAGGTGGGGGGGGGGGTGGATTAGATGACGTGCGTATAAATGGGTGAAAGAGACGTTAAAGAAACACAACTCTGGAGAGTGGAAAGAGGTGAGGTTTCAGCTAGGCACGTGCGCCATTATTGACGAGTTCACCAGGAAACGATTGGGATAAATCGTTCGCGTCTGTAGCTGGTAAACAGTTTGTTTACGGTGGGTCTACTTTGTTCCAGTTGTCTAGTTTGTTAGTTTGTTGACAGTGTCTACTTTGTTGACAATGTCTACTTTGTTGACAGTGTCTACTTTTTTCACAGTTTGTCTAGGTTGTTAGTTTGTTGACCGTGTCTACTTTGTTGATTGTCTTGTATGTTAACAGTGTGTTTAGTTTGTTGACATTTTTTCTAGTTTGTTTATAGTTTGTCTAGTTTGTTGACAGTGTCTACTTTGTTGACAGTTTGTCTAGTTTGTTTACGGTTTGTCTAGTTTGTTAAGTGTTTGTTTAGTTTGTTGTCTGTTTGTCTAGTTTGGTGTCTGTTTGTCTAGGTTGTTAACAGTTTGTCTAGTTTGTTAACAGTTTGTCTAGCTTGTTGACAGTTTGTCTAGTTAGTTAAAAGTTTATCTAGTTTGTTGCCAATTTGTCTAGTTTGTTAAGTTTGTCTGGCTTGTTTTCTGTTTGTCTAGTTTGTTAAGCTTGTCTGGTTTGTTTTTAATTTGTATACAATCGTTTTGTTAAATCCCACTACATCTTAGAGTGACAATAGCTTAACATCTTGGAGATACCGGGTGACCCCTCGACCTAGTGACGCCGCTGCCCAGAGCTACCAGGACAGGATAACACTAGGGCAGTGGTTCCCAACCTTTTTCGAGTGGCGACCCCCTTTCATACAACGTAAGTGATTCGCGACCCCCATATAATTAACAAGCCGAAATTAGTAAAGAAAATAATAAGCACTAACATAATATTTTCTAGTAGACTTTCAATATGAATTATTCTTGATAAATGTTTTAATACGATGAGCAAAATTACATGCTATTAACAAGCATTAACTAGCATTAACAATTAAATTTTGCAAATTTAAGAATTCATCTAGATCTAGTTATTCATCGGCAATGCTGGTAACATCAAGGAAAGCAGAGAATGGGTGACAATGCAGATTCTTCTCTTTTCAGTTCGGGGAAAATAACGCCGCAGTTCGTTGTCAAGAGATTCAAGATGCACAGAATCCTTTAAAATTTTTATCTATCACACCACACTGCAGAGTTTCTCAAACATGGCATTATTTCAAATATTTATTTTTCCTCGCCAATTTTGCAGCTTTGATAAAAATGCCGAGAGATTATCATGAAAAGAGATAATATTCGTTCCTTTATCAGGTTTAGCTTATATCTGCTAGGTATAATACTCTCTCCAACCACACTATGTCGTTAAAGTATATAAAAAGGTCTTGTTTCCTTGCACTTCCAAGAACATCTTGATTTCATCTTTCAATTCAAAAACACGATTGACATTTCCTATTGACAGCCAGCGTACTGAAGTGTAGAACCTCGTGATCTTTATCCATGTCTTTGCACAGTTCTTGAAACAGACAGGTGTTTAGGGCTCCAGATTTAATATGATTTACGACTTTTATTAGCAATGGAGTCGGATAAGTCTTGCTGGCGAAGACATATGTGAATCATGCAGTGGATTCTCTTTCATTAGGGAGCTAAATCTTTTACTTTTTTCTGAAACCCCCATTTTGACCCAAACATGACGCACCATCCGTACAAACCCCACAGCCGTTTTCCCATTTTAATCCTCCAGTTTCAAAAAACGTATTTATTTTCTCCATGATATCTTCACAAAACATCAACTCTTATTTGCTAACATCTGAATGAATATATTTCACAAAGACAAGCAAATGCGAACACGAACTCACGTCTGTCGATTCGTCAACTTGAAATTCAAACAATGGTGAAAGCTTGATTTCATTCTAAATTTGTCTTTTAACATAAGCCGCTGCATAGTATTATTAGACAGAGATATTTGTTGCATCTTTACTGCACTGGAATCCCCAATAATTAATTTTACCATCTTCAGCATACATGGTTTGATGCGATTTTCTCCTTTGTGTGAGGGGTTTTTTGCTTGGGAATTTCTAATACTACTTCATATGATGCTTGCACTAATGCTGTGTTTTCTTGGTGAAAACGTTCTGTTCGATCAAATCTCTGACGTTTGCAACTAGCTTCATGCCGACAAAAGAACTACATATCTTTTTTGATGTGTTCCGAATGACTCGTCTCAATTTGACGTTTGGAAGTTTTCATAGACTCCTGACTAAGAACAACTTTGCACAGTACAAATTGTTTATTCTCTATTGAACTCTATTCCATTTCCAGTGATGTCAGTAATGCCGAATTTCAAATATTTGTCTAAATATTTATGTTTTTTTATTCATAGCTAGAGTTTAGTCTACCAGTTGGCGACCCCCCAGAAAGCCCTTCGCGACCCCCTTGGGGGTCGCGACCCCCAGGTTGGGAACCCATGCACTAGGGCATGTAGTGGCGGTACATGACCTGGCGATTTAAAAAAAAAATTAGTCGCATTATTTATTAATTAATTAGTTAAAAGTATTGGAGCCTAACTATAATCATTAATAATGTGTGTCTTTAGTGTCCGCACCTGAAACGATGTATTAGGTTCAGTAAGTGTGACACAACTCTTAGTCCGCCCCCGTGTGTACGTGTGGGGTTGGGGGGGGGGGGTGTTGGGGTGGAAGGGCTGGGGGTGGTGGGAAAACATTCTGCTACTACGCCGATGACGAGAACAGAAAACAATGTCCTTTTGTTTTTTTTTTCAGGTTTTCTCTGGTGAAGCTCGTCACGTGACCAGTGGTCTATTCCTGTCCCAGGCTGCCACTGCTTCACGTTGATACACCTGACCCCCCCCCCCCCCCCTCCTACCCCACCCTCCCCACTCCACACTGAGAGCTGCTGGATATCAACGTTTTAACTGACCTCCCCTTTACACGTTTGTCTCCCATGTTATCGTTGTTTCATGTATTGTCGAAGGGGGGCGCTACTTCAGTGGTGGTGGTGGGGTGGGGGCAGTGTTTCTTCCAGGCCCCTCTTAGGGGGGAGGGGGCTCCAAAGAGAGTCTACCCTCCCCCCCCCCTCCGTACGAAATGGAATGT